CGGCGATGAGGGCCTCGAACAACCAGCACGCGTCGAAGGTGCTCACCTCGGTGCTGTAGCCGATACTCCGGCTCACACATCGGATCTGGTTCGGAAACGGAATGAAGCTCGCCTTCCGTTCGAGGATGTGACGGATTTCCTCCTGGACAAGCCGCAACGCGGCGTGTTTCTCCTCGCTGGGAAGCTCACACCAGGGCTGCTGCGCCCTCCGCACGGACACCCCGCACCGCGCCAGCAGCTGCCGGAGAAAACTCTCACCATCCTCGACGTGGTGGAGGCCGAGGACGCTGGCGATGACGGGGTGATACCAAATCGCATTCCACAAGGTGGTGTGGGTTAACAAAAACAGCTGGGGTTCCTCTCGATTCCACAGCTGCATGGCGTTGTTCGAGATTTGACGGCCGTGGTGCTGACCACCCTCATTCGTAATATCGGTAAGTTCGTCGCATCGGATGCTCTTTTGCAGGGTCACCGCGTCGTGTAGGGGGCGCATTTCAACCAGATACTTCCCGTAGTCTATCAGACGTCGATTAAAAAGGTCGCATACACCTAGAGCGGCATGCCAAAGCATCGTATCCTTCAGCCTATTCAGCATCACCGCAAGATCATGAACTTCGACGGCGCAGCTGCGGCCTGCACATTCCGCCGCATTGTACGCGGATTCCAGCGATGATGAGATTTTTTCTTGATCCATCCAGTCAATATAGGTTTCACTGGATGGTAAATCCTCCTCCACTTCGTCGTCAAAAGGGCTTGCGTCGAATTCACTTTCGTCGTCATCGCTACTTTCCGTGTTGCCTTCGTCGCTTGTACTTGGACTACTGCTTCGACTACAGCTGTAGGCACGATGCCCTATTGATTCCCCCAGAACCCCCCCAAGAACCTCATGACCGATGTCAGTTCTCACAAGTCCTTTTCTAAGACGTTTCCGTTGTTTGGCAATGCGTTTCCGCTCGCGGCGATGGCCTAACGCCGCCGACGCAGCTTGCTGTTCGCGGAAAAACTGATGAATCTCGGCATGAATTTGATTCCTACCCCACACCATAAGCCGAGTCTCATCCTCCCTGCGGAGATTGCTAAGATTGAAGGGGCGATAGGAGTCTAAAACTACCACAATATGGCGTGTAAAGTCAAAATATTTGTCTAATTCTATAGGAGCTCCCAAACCAATTAAAATGAATAATTCATCGACATAGGGGTCATCAGGATCACTGCGCTCAGAATCTTGAGCAAGATTGGCCCGCTCGACAATAGTAGTAAGCTCCTGGTAGGTGGTCACTGGGAGAATGCTGTAGGGTACCAAAGAAGCTTTAAGTAGCGCCGTGAATGTAAGAGAAGCTGCTGCAGCATCAACGGTATAGCTAACAAGAATCTGTATGGGTTTTCGAGTAGAGTGGTAGAATTGATTGATGCGCAACCATATCTGTGTAGAATCCATGTCGGACATTTTAAATCTATGATCTTTCTATTTTTCAAACTGGAGTTAAATTATGATATAAATAAATATGTATATTTGTATGCGTGCGTGTAGAATAATTCTATGATGAAGAAAGAAAATGCCACCTCGTGAAATCTAGGAGTGATATAAAGAGAAAGTGGCTCTCTAATAAAGTGATTTATTGAGACGATGAATTTTTGAAAAGATGATGAAACAAAAAAAAAATGAAGAATAAGATAAAAAAGGTAAGTATTCAAGCCTCAAAAGATAGAACTAAGTCTAACATGTTTATACCCCATACTAATGTGTCTACTTGTTTTTCTTGTGTAAATTATTTTCTTTCTAGACTGACTAGCAGACTACTAACGGGCATATGGAAAACACATCAATATGGTCTCTTGTATCATTTCAGAATCCAGCGGCTCCACTGCCTCCTCCAGCTTGTGAGAGAAACGCGCGATAACCTCCCTTGTTCTTTCATTTAATTCAACGCGGTTGGTGTGGTTGGGATGTGGTTGATGCGTGCTTCTATCCGCATCACCCGCTTCAGTTATATGAGCGTTATGGCTTCGGAAGGCTTCATGAATGATATTAAACTGCTGCAGATGCCAACGACGCATAACGCGAAATAACCGAGGCGGCGTGATGTCATTTAAGAGCATCTTGCCGTCCACCTTAGCCATCCAAAAGGTGTTAATCATGTCCGTGTCAATTGCAACGCGCGTTGTCGTCGCGTCGTCGTCTGGATGATGTTCAAACAATTCAATAAAGAGGAGGACCGCGTCGGTGCCCCATTCGACTGGATCGTCTGTCGGAATACGAGGGTCGGAGTGGGCCCCAGGCAGCGTCGCTATCACCGCAGCTTGAAAGGAAGCAGGGATATCATGCTTCTTTTCACTTTGAGCGATCCCTCTCCTTCCAGCGTATCCTTTGTGAACGGCAGGGCGGAAGGAATTTACCTTAGCGGCCTCCAGAGCCTTGGGGTCATCGGTGTCGATGAGCATAAACTTCGGCAGTGGTACCGCCTCGGCGTCCTCAACGGCCTCGATGTTCACCAACTCCTCGCGTGCAAGATTTCGTTGGACCATACGATCCAGACCGTCCGCGCCGTCCACGACGGAAAAGGCTCGTTCCATCGCGGCCGCAGTGTACAGTTCGACCTTCGCATTGTCATCCTTTCGAGATGCCTCCCTCGCGCGCACGGGCACTCTTTCTGAATCCTCCCCTTTGGCATCCTCGCCGCCCAACGTCGCCGCTAGGTATTCTTCATAAGTTCCATAATTGTTTTCCATGATTTTACGCCTTGTGCGCAACTCCTGCGCGTGCATTTCCTCACCTGTTTGGGAATAAGTTGGTTTACTTGACCCCGTCCTATCTTTCCCGGCCTTGTCATTTTCCTTCATCTTCGTTAAGGCGAGTCGCCCAACCGTGGCGAAACGAGACCAGGTCGGACCGAAATGCGCCTGTTTCACCTCCGTGCTGTTCGCGGCCATGGCGAAGTCGTGTTGGGCCTCCTCTTTCCAGACCCCCTCGATCCCCTCCGAGGGGTCCTCCCAGTCCGTTGAGGGTTCCTCAGAAGGGGGGAGGGGGGGGGTCCATTTCACTGTTACACGGCTGAGTTGTAACACGCGAGGACTCCCACAGGCCCCTCGAGGATCGCACTGGAAAGGACCGGAAGGAACAAGGGAAGTGTCGAAGGCCCGACGAGCACGCAGCGCGGATAAGAGCAGAAGGGCCCGACGCAGCATCAGGTGTTGTGGCGGTTTTTTTGGGGGATAATCGTTTGCCCTTTTGCGTTTTGGGTCTCTCGGTAAATGCGGAAACTGAGGGGATAGCAATGCGAATCCCTCAAACCAAAAGAAAATAACGTCGTTACTACGGTTTCCCTGTGTGTGAAAAGGAGATTGGTGAAAGGTTAACGTTCAGATACAGACAATAGAGTCATCATCTGTGTGACTTTCTGTGTGATAGATTAAGAACAAGAAACGATGGTTAAAGAGAGGGGAAGGAAAGAATATCGGGGATAACTTTACTATTTACCCATTAATCTGAAGGCAAAACATTGAAGTATATGGACGAAAAGAGTAAGTGTAAAATGAAAGGTTTTGGTAATATTTGAATTTGCTTCAATGTCCTTATTTCTGAATATTTTTTTCCATTTATTTCAGAAATATATATGAAAATAATATTGCTAACTTCATTTAATATATATTGGGGGGGTTATATATATATATTTCTATATATGGATATTTCAATTAATCCATAGATTTTAAACTAGTTTGAAAATTAGATAAGATGATGATTTATATTGTATAAAAATCTCGTAGAAATACAAGCCTATTCAATACTTTCATATCCCTTCAGATGCTTTGAATGGAACTTCCATGCTGATGCGATAATTTTATCGATGGTGTCGTACTCCAGCTTCCACCCAAGAATCTCTTTTGCAGCTTCACCAGAGGCAACGAGCGTCGGTGGATCTCCTTGACGCCGAGCTTCTTCCTTTATTGGAATCGGATGACCCGTCACGCGCCTAGCGGCTTCGACTACCTCCAATACGGTGTTTCCCTGGGCGGTTCCGAGATTTAACGTTAAGAAGAACTTGTCCTTGTCCTCAGGTTTCAAGTTGGCAAGATAATCAAGGGCTTGGATGTGTGCCATGGATAAATCCGCGACGTGAACATAATCGCGAACACAGGTCCCATCTCGAGTGGCGTAGTCGGTGCCGAAAATAGAAATGTACGGCCGTACCAGAGGTCGCTCAGGGTGGTGCTTCGCGTTGTACGCATTAATTTGGTCCGCCATGGGAACCTGAAGAATAAGCGGGATCAAATGCGTCTCGGGATCGTGTGCTTCACCAATGTCACCTTCTTCATCCGCCCCACACGCATTAAAATAACGTAGACACACCGACTTTATTCCGTACGCCGCGGCACAATCCTCGAGCATCATCTCATCCACGTACTTGGTTCGGCCGTACGGACTCTCAGGTTTTATTTTTGCATCGGGCATAATCGGCACGACCTTTGGGATGCCTGGGGCATTGTTATCCTCATCCTCCTTTTCCAACACATTTCCAAATAAAGCCGCCGTACTCGAAAGAATTAACTTATCGCAGCCATGACGCCGCATTGCCTGGAGGAGACGAATCATCCCGATGATATTGTTGTCGTAATACATTAACGGGTTTAGGGTGCTTTCCCCCACGGCAATGTAGGCGCACATGTGCACCACCGCATCAATGGGCCCGTGCCTTAGGAAGACATCATTCAGGAATTCTGCGTTCCGGACATCACCAACTTCCAAGAGAGCGAACCGTTTTGGGGCAGCTTGCCCATTTTGTAAAGTATTGGAGTGAATCTGCTTTTTATTCCAATTCTCTTGGGTATCAACATGAGAAGAGTCCCCATTTTCCGCCTCTAGAGAATCCAGAATAATCACTGTGTGTTGTGTCTTACGGAGGAGGGACCGCACAAATTGAGTACCGATATACCCGGCCCCACCACACACCAATACCTTCATAGCGTTATATTTATCGATTTAATTGAAATTTAGACCTTACTAAAAAGGAATTCAAGATAATGAAGTAAAGCTAATCTCCTCATGAACTTACCCATGTATTGAAAAATCATTAGGTGTTTTTCTTTTTGGTTAATTGGCTACAAAGCTAGACTTTTAAAGCCCTGAGTACTACTGTCTCCACAATTATGGTGGAAGCAACATCGTTCTACAGTAATCTCACAAAGAGCTAAAAGTAACTCAAAACATTATTTATGTTAATTCTTAACTAACAGTTTATTTCTTCGTGAACCCCACTAGACGGCGTATGTTAGAGGTAAATAGAATTGCCGCGTTCGTGTGAATTCAGAAGCTGCTTGTGATAATTTCAATATCTTGGACACCTCAGGTCCTTATAAGTCCGCTAGAAAGTGCCAACATCGAAATAGTAGGAATTAATAAAAATCAATTGTTCATCTTCATCACCTGTTGTTTTGTTATGGTACTCTGATAAAAGGGGCGGATAGAGGCAAGCACTCTGTTCATTGAAACAGAAAAGACCCCGTTCTTCCCCATCAGTCTTTTTCAGGTTGATATCAAGCATAGCTGCCTTCAGGATACGAAGCGCACAGACGCCTGGTTTATCCTCTCGCGTGTCCAGTCGAGCCAGCAATGCTTGTGCAGTGCGGTAAACCCCCACTAAAGAACTTTCCACGAAACGTATCGGCACGTAGCCTACCATTGACCTCGCGCAGGTCTCCAAGACTCCGCTGAAGAAGTTCAGACCATCCCCATTGGTGGGTCCGAAGTTGATTACCGCCGCCGCCTGGGATTCTGCATCCCCGTAAGGGTTAGAGGCGGGCAAGCCATTCGTCGCGCTTTCCACCAATGGGTGTGAATGATATTTACAATCGCAGATTCGAATCAGCATGGCCGCCTGCTGCGCGAAGGTTGAAAACTCCCCAGCCTCAACATGCCACACGTCTCCAACCACGTAGGTGGGCTCCACCAAAATCACCTCTTCATTTTCCAGAGTCCCATTGGCGGGATTAGCGGCCTCATTAGCAGCCGCCATTGCATCCCCTCCCGGCGTTATTCGTTCCGTTGCCTTGAGCGAAGGTACACCAAACACGTTGTTGTGGATGGATGAGTTTGGGACGGAAGCCGATGTATTTGTGAAAACCATAAGCCGCAATTGATATCGTGTCGTCCCAAAGGACGACGCAAGAAAGCCTCTTACTTTCGCACCCATGACATGAACAAAGTCCTTTACCCAATCGCTATCCACACCGATAACGTGGACATAAAGCGGTTCTAATGACAAAGACGCGGGTGTCTGCTTTAGGTTATTTCCTTCACTACTAATAAAATAATCCGCTTTGAGGGAAAGGTACTCAAGGGTGGCTACCGCGCATGACCATCCAGCCGTGCGCAGTACCTCACCTTTTGCTTTCTCCAGACGCGCCGCAGTTAGCAGTGGCCGGAAGGTTTGTGCGGTGTCCTCCCTGTTTTTCCGCCATAGCGCACATTCCACTTTATGCTTCCCGCTTTTCCATTCCAATGCCTGATGTTTGAGGCCGCAGTACCATATTACTTTACACCCACCACAGCGAAGTAGTTTTTCTCGGCGTCTGCCACAACATGCACAACGACGGAATGGGTGCTGTACGGAAAGCGGTAAGGTTAAGTGTGGAAGTTCGGTCATGGTGTACCCTTTTTCACCCACCCCAATCCGCCAACCATAGCGGGCGTGAAAATCTACAATGTGATCGGCGATGAATTCTAGTGCAGCGAACGCGGCGAGCATCATCTCAGATGTAGGACTCTGCTCCACAACCAAGGATTGGTTTCTTGCGATGGGATTTAACTTGGTCGTTTTCTCGCTTGGTAAACGGTAAGTAACACGAGGAAAGACTAAATCGCTACAAGATCCCTCAACCTTCACGCGCGGATACCTCGGCGATTCGTTATCGTGATGGCCATGATTCGAAGAGACGGAATGATGGAAATCTAAAAGAGCGTCGATATCATCAAATGGTATCCCCTCTACGGGCCCCAACTGTACCAGAACCTCCCCTTCATCTGGCAAATAGCTATCACAATCAAAATTCATCAGCCCATCATTGTTGAATTCATCCATCACGTAAAGCGCATCACCGATATCCTGATAGAGATGAAGCACGGCACCTATAGGATGCGGTTTGATGGAGCCTACCTCCCGGTAATCACCGTTCGATGCGTTTTCATCTTTAGGAATACTTTGGAAGAGAAAAGCGTGTCGGAATGGTCGTGTGTTAGCACCAACGGGCTTCACTTCACCCTTTGCCACAGCTGTCATCTCAGTCTTAGATGTGTCCTTGGTGATCCTTCGAGGATCACTGGGTGGTTCGGGTACAGAAAAAAAAGTACCCTCTCCTTTGGATAACTTTAAGGCCTTCTTATTTGCATCTCGCTGTGCTTTGAGCTTCGCGACCCCTGTCAAGCCCTCAGGATCTGGGATCTCTAGAGTGCGTTCGAAGTCTGTAAGGCTGGATTTTGAAACTGATAGTTTCCCCTCATTCGCTGACTCCGTAAATCGCATCCGGTAGAAAACTGGATTGATGCGGGAAACCAGTTCAAAGAGAAGAGGATTATTTCCCTGAGGTGGGACGGAATCATCACATGCTTCAGTGGATAGACAGCTCTTCGTGTCCAACCATTGAATCACCTGGTCTAGCAGATCATTAAATTCGTTAAAGACACCGGAGCCCGACAAGCCTTCAGTCATAAACGGGAACCATGGAAGGCTTCCCTCTTCTGGCAAAGTTGTACGCATACCACCAGACTCGTCTGAGGATGGCATCCACCAGGTGAGCCGGCGGTCTTTAAACAGGGCTGCAGTGAAATCGATCCCGGCCTCGGCTCCTGATGCCTGCTTGACGTCGCGACGCACCCCCTCCGCGATCTGCGCCCACCGATCCGAACTGAACAGATCCAGCCTCTGGTGGGTCTGCCCGTTGAGGACCGCCACGAGCGCGAGGGACGTGATGTGGGCCCGCAGCCCACTCGGCAGCTTCTCCCACCCCGCCTTAAAGGACCGCACGACCGTCTCACGGCTTGGGTTTGCCTGCACGGTGGCGTACAATAAATGCCAGGAGGGCGCCGCGGCACCCAAGGCGAGCGGGCTGGGCCGTCCAAACAGCAGGTGAAAGACCGGCGCCGCGACGACGCGGGTTGGCGGGTCGAAATGCCAGCGTCGGGGAAAGACCAGGACCCAACACCAGGCCTCATACGGCGTGCTGAGGTCAAGCGGGAAGGTCTGGATCGAAGTGCTGGGAGTTCCCCCGCGGAGAAAAGATTCGGCCACGGACATGATGGTTGGGATCAATTATTAGGTTTTTTTTCTAATGAGTACTGCTAGTTTTATTTTATTTTTTTAGGAGGGGAGAGGGGGGGAGGGAAGTGTACCGTACGGCGTCGGCCTAAAAAATATTAAAATTGGAATATTCACAATATGACCAAAAAAATGTGTCTACTAATTATTTATATGGGGCTATTTTTAAAAGAAAAGAAGATTAAAAAGGTAGATCTCCAAATAAGTACAAAATATGGGGAAATATATATAAAATCTAAGATGACAAATTTGATAATCGTAGTAAAATTAAGCTCTTTTTCGAGTGGAAGGATCGTTTCTTTTAGAATATCCACTATAAATATTTATAAATAATATATTTATATATATAAATATATTATAATTTAATTTTTTTTCACCCATTAATAGCTAACTACGACTGGAAGACCTGCGCTAAAAAAAAGGAAAATATACCAAACTAAATTTCTAAGTCTGATTATATCAAGTAAACCTGAAAATTTTTTAGTAGATATTTTAAAAAGATATCCTTTAATAAATGGAGTTGAAATATACATTAAAGTGTATAACACAATTCATAATATATATAACCTTATAAACAAAATACTACAAAAAAGTCAGGGAAAAAATGGAAAAACTATAAATATAAAGGTGATTTACATTATAGAACAACAATACGAATTGGTTCGACGTTTTGTATCCTTGTAACTCCATTGTCTATTGAGAGAATTACGAGTAACATTATTCGAATCAGTTGAATCGGGTAAATGCTGTAAACTCCTGAGGCGCTCCAACTCCATATCTTGAAGTTTCAAACGTTCATGTAAAGATGTCAATTCCGCAGTACGTTCTGAAAGATTATTCATGAAAGTTAAAGATCGGAGTTCAGAATCACTCTTCGCCTTTTCAGCAATAGCAAGCTTTTCTAAAAGCTCCTTTAATGCCAAGGACATCTGTTTGGCATGGCTGGCCTCAGAAGAAGTAATCCGGACTTTCTGGGCCTCAGAGTCATTAAGCAGGGCCTCGTGCATTTTCTTCAGACTCTCCAGCTTCTTGGTAAGTTCGTCCTTTTCTTTCGCGGCAAGAGCCAGCTGTTTGGCATGGCTGGTCTCAGAAGATAATAATCTACCTTTTCGCAACCTAGACTCATTAAGTAAAGTCTCGTGCATTCTCTTCATATCCTCCAGCTTCTTGGTAAGTTCATCCCTTTCCCTCAAAACTAGAGCTAACTGCTCAGTATGGGTGTCTC